AAAACAATGTTCATTTATACACAGTGGAATTATTACTTAGCTGTTAAGAAAAATGAAATTCAAATATAAAAGAATGAAGCTAGAAACAATATTTCTGAGTGAGGCAATCCAGTCTCAGAAAGACAAATATCACACACTTCCTCATTCAAGGATATTAGAATTTAATCTTCAAATATATGAGCTTCATTTGGAACACCCATTGTAATCAGGTGGCAGAGGTGACAGAATGCACTAGTGTGAAGGGGTTAAAGGGAATTATGAAACAGAAAGGGGTAAGTTGGGGTGTGGGTGGCAGGGCAGAGTAGAGAAGATAATACAGAGAAGGGTAACTAACACTAAAGGCCTTTTGAAAACCCATATGGAAATTCATTGCTACTGAAGCTTCCTAAATATATACATAAATGCTGTTTTTATCTGTGGCACAGCGCTGTACCTGACTCCATCACTATCTCAGCTGCTGACTGTACCTCTGCAGCCACTGCTGCCTTGCTGCTGAGGTCACAGCCTGGGGAGCCTTCACATCCCACACCGCTGCCTCAGCTATGTAGGGAGGCAAATGTCATTTTAACTAAGTATCTTTTAATTTTACCAATAAAGACTCAGAGCCAGATGCTGAGGTGAAAACCTGCAAGCTCAGAGGAGCAGAGTAAGCAGCCAGCTGGCCTTCCTCCTCTGTCACCATATCAGAAAGAAGGCTCTCTCCTAAGCCATCTGAAACAAAATTCCTCCAACCAGATGACCCTCCCTTCTACTTCCTGTGTGTGTCTCTCTCTCACCCTTCCAGTTTCCCTCACTCTCTATGGCTACTTACAGTCAACTGGTTGCTTGCTCCACCTCTTGACTTATGGTTGATTTTATTTAAATAATGCAATCTCAAAGATCACAGTGTGATCAAATATCCCACAACACATATTATATATATATATTTTTAGGTTTTGGTTTGTTTGTTTGTTTGTTTGTTTGTTTTGTTTGTTTGTTTTTTGGTTTTTTGTTTTTTTTTTTTTTTTTTTTGGTTTTTCGAGACAGGGTTTCTCTGTGTAGCTTTGCGCCTTTCCTGGGACTCACTTGGTAGCCCAGGCTGGCCTCGAACTCACAGAGATCCGCCTGGCTCTGCCTCCCGAGTGCTGGGATTAAAGGCATGCGCCACCACCGCCCGGCGATTTTTAAGGAATTTTCATGGAGATGTGCTACAGCAGGGGGACCATACCCTAACTAGACACTTCATGCCAGCAAATTAAGACCTGGTACCAGGAACTGGTTACCTCTTTTAGAGTTGTTGGCCTGTGGCCTAGCATAGATCTACAGGCATTGCAAGGTATTACAATACTCTTAGCTATCCTCCAGAAATTGATGAAAAACTCCTATTGCTTTCAGCATACTTAAATTATAGAACACAGGGAAATCAATCTGGTTCTCACTTGGAATCTTCATCCCTACTGGCTAGTTCTCATAGTGCTTGAAGGTGATATGGAAGTTCCTATATGAGAAAAGTAATCATTCTTATAGAATACAAAGTGACTGACCTAACAAAATATGCTGGTGTTGATACACTGACATGAATGTTGTGGAAGTAATCAACCACTTTCTGATTGGATTTAAACCTGTTCCATGAGATAGAACCCACACCTGACAATGTGAAAGGAGACAAAAACCTATGGCTAGATAGGTCATAGGCCCTAGGGGAGAATCCAAAAGTATTATTCTGATAAATAGACATATTATTTGAATGACCCCTAAGGACTTATTGGTATACACATAGATCAGTGCATCTCTAAACTCTCATCAGAGAAACTTCTCCTCACAGTAAATGACAACACAGAGCCCCTTAGCTGGTCAATGAAGAGAACAGGAGAGTATAGAATGTTCAACCCTAAATGGGATGCACATATTATACCCCACCCCCAATACTGTGGGGTCTTCATGGAAGAAGTGGAAGAAAAGGTGCAGAGGCTGTAGATAACATCAAGGACACGGTTTTCCAGACACAACAAGGCAGTTTCACTAGTGAACTCAAGGGGCTGTGAAACATGCACAATGTCTATGCAAGTTCAAGTTGGACAATAACTCCAGCATAGAGAGAGCAAAGTGGACACAAAATCCCAGCGGAAGACTAGCTAAGGAGCTACTGATTTGATAGCTCGGAGAAAGAGAATCAGTTTTCTTTAATGATGTGATCCCTGGATGGGCCAATCGTGTTCCAGAGCGAGCAGGCCTCACTCCCAGGAGTGGTTGGGTAACACAACCTGGACTGGATGGAGTTAGGAAGGTGAGGTGCAGTGTTTGAATTGGGAGGAGTCAGGGGAAGGGCTGAATATGATCAAAATACATTGTGTGATATTCTCAAATAATTAATGAGAATTTTTTAAAGATGCCGACAAAAACCACACATCTTGTCTCGTGTGCAGATCCTGGTTTACAGTGTTTATATGTACATGTACATGGGAGAAACTGTGGTTACAGATACGAAAAAGGGAAAGAGAGCGAGACCAATCAGGCAGAAGTAACATGAAAGTAGGTCAGGTCACGGAGTCCGAGGGAAAGGACTTCCCACGGTGAGAAGAAGATGAGAATCAACAAAACTGAAAATGTCACAGTGAAAGCTAACGCTGTGTATTAAAGTAAAACAGTTTTAAGTGAAACTATTTTTGTTTTGTTTTGTTTTGTTTTTCAAGACAGGGTTTCTCTGTGTAGCTTTGC